AAAATGAATTTGAATGGTAATTACAATTAAAATTCCTGAATGAGAATAATGAGATTTGCAAAAATTATGGGCTATTTAATATTTTTGTTTTATTTCAGTTATGAGATGATTATAATAGGATTTGACCGGTCAAATTAATATACTAATTTTTATTATGATTGTGATATTTGCATATAATATTGAACATTTAATATTTATTTTTTATTAGAGTTAAGGTAAGAAAAAATATGAAAAATTGATTCTTTGACCAAAAATCATTTAATTTTGAATTATTTATGGAGTTATGAGATTTGCAAAATATATGGGACATTTAATATTTATTTATTATTAGAGTTATGAGATGAGGATCAAAATATGGGATGTTGATTCTTGGAATTTTCATATAGAATTAAAACAATATTTTTTAGAAATTCTGATTCCTTTTTTTTTTTTAACTCTCAGAAATATTATGTATCTCAACTTTTAGAAATTCGGATTCAATTGTAATTAATTATTTTGGCTGACCTTTTGTTTTGTTATTTTTTCAGGAATGGAGAGGACATGGATAATCTTAATTTTTTTTTTCAAGTTTATTTTTTTAGTTGGTTGTAATTTATTTAATTTTTTATTTATTTTTATTAATTTCGTTTAATTTTCTATGCATAGCAAAATTAATTGCGATTAAAATATGCTTTCCTAAAACACTCAACTCTCATCCATAATAGTCAACACTATTAATATGCTTAAACAATATGGAGACATCATTAACTTGTTATTATTTCATAATTAATTAGTTAACTTTCTTAAAACAGTCAATTATCATCAAAAAATATTATGTTTTTAATAAAAAAAAACGAAAATAAATGCACAGTAACGTAAAAAGGCGGGAAACTGCCACGTAGGTAAAATTAATTAGGTTTCATTTAATGCACAACAGCCAGTAATTATATGTATATATAGATATTAAACCGTCAAACATCATAAACTCGACAATCGATGGAACTTGAGACCATTGTACATTTATAGAATTCAATTTTTTTTTTAACTCTTTTCGGAAAAACAAAAATATTATTTTCTTATGGATCTCAGTCATCTACTTTTCCATTACAAAATGTAAGACTTCTCATTAAGATCAACATGGGTAGTCATTAGTTGTTCATGCCTCTAATGCGTAAAACCCTACTATAGTGAGTGAAAAATCATTCGTTCTTATCAATGTATCGATTAAATAATGTGTGATTACAACTCGTTAGCTGCTAGACATGCCAGCAGAATAAAACAACCTTTATATATGTCGGCACCCAACGACGATGGATATATATGTACATCTTTGACAACCACTCAGTACAACTTAACTGAGAATTACTCATCAACAAATTCTATCTATGTATACTCATACTCATTAGGAGTCTCAAAGTCATTAGTAATCTTGGATAAAATGTAAACTAGAAAATGATCAAGCTTTTCAAAAAGTTAGTTTAAGATATGCCAAATACAGTATTGATGTATAGTATATGGGAATACCTCAGCCACGTCAGCTGATATAGTAGCATCTTGGTCTGTGATAATAACTTCTAGATGCGGTTGGTTTAACATTGCATCTAAAAATTTGAAAAATAACCAAACAAAAAGACTTTTTTTTCTCATCACCGTGAAATCCACAACCAAATACAGTGGTCTGCCTATAATGGTTGACACCAACAAAAGGCGCAAACACCATTCTATACTTATTCATGTTATAAGTGGTGTACAACTGCACTACCAAACAACGTACGGGAATTCTTTGATGCACTATTGAACCAGAAATACCTTAAGAAAACATCATCATCATCTGTCACACAAACGTAATAGAAATTTTCATTCCTCTCTTTTTCCATTACGAATTGGTGAATGAAGTTTAGTGCATCATGTCCATTCAATTCCCTTTACGTGCTATTTTCTCATTCCGAATATCCTTTTCTAGGAACCCCATCATAGAAGGACCACCAGAAGTAATATCACGCAATCTAACTTGTTGAGATGTTCGAATATTTGCTTCATCATACTCCTGAACAAGCGCACGTTTTATAGCTGATACAACTCGATTAAGTAAATGAGTCTTTTTTAGGAGTTGCAAGTGGATGTTTATGTTTCTCTTTAAAATCCTTCACTACCCAATTAGAACACTCATTCGAGCTGGACAATTACATATGGTTTTCGTCTTCTTCGTTCGCTAGTTTTTGCCATTGCTTGTTCATTCTTTTGATAGGTCTCATTTGCCTTACCTTCTTTAGAGCAAGTGAAATCCCTCCAAACAAACATGTTATTTGTCATCTATTTCATTCTTTTGTCATTTCAAATTTTAATGTTAAATCCCGCATGTTAAGCATATGTATTATAGAAAGTATGAACCTTTTCATCTGATGAAATTCTTGACCGATTTTAGGCACGACAATCGAATCAACTTTAGGAATAAATGCTTGATCAATTTGTTCGGTCTCTATCCCTATGTAATTTTTTTTAAAGAAGACAAAAATATAAGAAAGATTCACAGAAAAAATTATAAATACATCAAATCGATATAAATCAAGTTCACATATCAACCAATTGAGTTACAAAATACTGATAAGAAAAATAATGAATAGATTAGGTGGTAAGAATATGGGCATATGTGGGTCGAGTTGTTTGAAAAGATGAATTTCTGCATTCCACAGCGTGGTCAAGATTCTCAAACAAGTAAAATATCAGTATCAATATAACCAAGAACCTGGGAATTTATTTGAAGTTTTCGCACTATAGTAGTCTCAAGATCACGTCGATCGAAAAGCTAAAACTATGTTGCGAGTGGCATTCATCGACTAGCGCCCATGCGCCGACTCATACGGCATTCTTGCTTATCTTGAACGTGGAATTTTAAAGGTTTTTCTATTCTTGTTCACGGCCGTGAGAGGAATATAGAATGTTGAGTGTGCCAAAGTTCAAAATATTTTTTTTTTAAAAAAAAAAAAGCCGACGAAGTTTTTTTCCTTCGCAAATTCCTATATGTGTGTCTTTAGTCCGGTGAGGTTTCTCTTCTTGCTGCAAAAATTAAGAACGACAGGTGCGCAATAGGAGGATGATAGGGTCGTGAGGGGAGGATGGATGGGTTTCTTTCACTGCAGAGTGGTGAGGGGAAAATGATCTGAGGGGAAAATGATATGCTGAGTAGATGGAAAAAAATATAAATTATGAGGTTTTATTTTAATTCACCTAGGTAATATCTCGTAGATAGTTGGCTTCACAAAGGAGCTAACAATTGATTCTATAAGAAAACTGTGATAAGAATATCAAATAAGTACTATTGACAAGTTTTTGGAAAAAAAAAAAAAGGAAAAAGATACAAAAATATGAAAAGTAATAATGAGTAACATAATTTTGGAAAAAAATATTTTTTATTTGGTAATTCCAACAGAAATTCTATGGTGCTCATATGTGTACTATAAGCCATGTCACAATATGATGTGGCATATGAGGTGGCCTTTTTGTTTTTAAATAACAATTCCATGGCATATATGATGTGGCAATTTTTAAACATTTAATTAATTAGGAAACCCTTCATAGGATTGTTCAAGGCCGCGGTCTACCTCTCCAGCAACGACTTCTCCGGCCTTCCGTCCAGTTCACAGCCGCCGGTTTCTTGTCCGAATAGTAGTTCCTTGCTCAGTCAACCAACCAACCACCTACATATATGCAGCACAAATAAGCTAGCCGGCATACCCAATACTATCGGCTAATTAATCGCTCAGTTTGAATATAATTTCGAATCGATTTTTTACAAAAAATACGAGTAACAAACTACAAATACGCAGATTAGCTAACCGGCATACACAATACTACCGGCTAATTAATCACTCATTTGTAGAAAATCTTGAATTGAATTTTTAGTTTACCAGAGATGCAAATAACATCCATGCCGAGGAATTCATTGTTGACGAAATTGATCAAGGACTAGGCCGGCCCAACCCTATGCAACGAAATTCCCTCTTTCCCCAACTGCTCGAACTCCCGCGAACAACCATCCATGGCGGTGTCGTCCAGCCCGAGGTCCCTTCCTCCATCACAGATTAAGCCAATAATTAATTAACTAACTTGAATAGAAAAATTTTGATGACAGAGTTTTCTACTGTTTCTGCTTAAAATCCTTCATTACTTTGCACACTCGAAATCCTTCGTTACTTTGTGCAGTGGAGTTTTTGACAATGTCTCTGTGAAGAGTTTTTGTTTTAATTGAGGTATCATAATGAAGGGTTACCTAATTAATTAAATCTTTAAAAATGCTACATCATATATGGCATAGAATTGTTATTTAAAAACAAAAAGCCACCTCATATGCCACATCATATTGTGACATGGCTTATGGTACCCATATGGGTACATAGAATTTCTGGTAATTCCAAGCCTAAATATGGAAAGTAATAATGAGTAACTGTGTATGGATCAAGCCAAAGTACAATTTTTCACCCATATAAAGCGTTAGCTTGTCATTTAGGCTCATCACGATTTATATTAATATATAACACATTTTGTATTAATATACAAGAGGAAAGAGATGATTAGTTCATCATTAAGAATAGATCTATCCGCTTCATGAATTTAAATTCATGTCGAACTAGGCGGACAAACTTCAGTAAGTCTGGTTCCTCAACAGTATATCATTCCATCTAAAACCCAGAACACAATGTCTTAGTTAATCAATCAACTGGTCGAACTTAAACTCTACAATAAATGAGTGTTCACAATAAACGAGTGTTGCGTACAACTGGAAGTATAGCATATATAACAGTCCACGAGTGAAGTGCAAAGACTACTACCAAAGAGAAGTATCGCCTGCTGAAAATCAGCATCGAGTCTTGCAACTCATAGGGATAGATTGTTTCGCATACCTGTACAACTATTTCAGAGAAAAATACTCGAGTAAAACTATATCGTTAAGACATGTCCTCGTGTCAAGTTTGCCATGTAAATTGACAACCCCACGTCATTTAGCTGGGTATCACATTAATTCACTCCTCATCCTCCTCAAAAGATGATGCAAAAGAGAAGGGAGAAAATTTATAACCATCTCGTTCATAAAACTTGCCCTGAAATTCAAGCCAATGCAGCCGCAAGGCATGCAGGAAGGCACTCAGAGTCTCCATCACTAGTAGCACGCCAATGGTCGCGCATATGAAAACGAACACACCAATAATAAGAACAAACACATTATTGTACCTACAGCATGGGAAAAATAATGGAGAGATCAAAAAGCTGGTTATTAGGTTAAATCACAAAGTATTATTGAATATACTTATGGAGCTAACTGAACTTACCCCCAGGTTAGAAGTAGGACCTTCTCGTAGAATACACTAGATAACTCAGAATGCGCAAGACTACATAGAGATAGAGAAAGAGAGAGAGTTAAATAAATTTGAACACAAAAGAAAAAAGAGCATTCTAGCAGGGGAAAGAGACTAATGCTAACTAAGAACTTTGGGGTTTGCGCTGTCTAATTTACGGAAACATAAAATCAACAAAGATAGTTTTCCATTTTGCAGATTAAATTCATAGAGATACTGAAGTTACAAATTATTATGGCTCCAGAAGCAAAAAATAAATATGATCATTTCCTGTAGTTAGACAGTGAGAACTCATATGCTTAGGCAGAAAACCCAATAACATTTTTTATCTTATCCTGAGGACATTCACAATCAACTTCAATTGACATTTCTGATATTCCGGTCATTCGAGTCCTTTTAGATCTCTCTCTATCAGCTATTAAGCATAGATCTCTCTCTATCAGCTATTAAGCATACACCAGTTCTTTCATCAAATCACGAAACAGTAATTTAAATATTCATTAAAAGTTCCTACAACAAGAATCATTTACCAAACAAATTAAAAAGATGCATCACTTTCATCTATACATATATACTCTGAATTAGCTCTAATATAAATTAACTCGTGCCAATGTCCCACAGAAACACATAAAGAAAGGATCACTCGAGAAACAACACTGCGGCTGCATATAAATATCTGCAAGCAATTAGCATGATATGCATAAACAGATGAGTTCAAAGTTGTTAGACATGCCTGAGGGCCCACAGACGTAAGTAGGAAGCTGTGTTAGACACTGATCCAAGAACAAACTCTATGGTGTGTATAAATTGATGCACCAAGACTTCACCAAATTCAAATTTCTCGTGCCCATGTGAAACCACTGGTTCTTCCAATTCAAATGTACCATCATCAATGCTCTCAATAGGTACATAGGTTTGACCGCGATGCCTCTGTACAAAAACCACATTTAATATGCTTTAATACAAATTTATCTAAAAATATACAATCATTTTTAATCAATCATTCATTTTAACTCAAATCTAACTCAACTTTAACTCAACCACACTATCCTCAATATTATCAATATAACTAAGTAATATCAATCAATCATTCTTACATATTACATCAACCTTAATTCAGTATTCATCCACTCACATAAACTTAACCATCACTTAACATCACCTCTCTCCTACTTTTACATCAAATCAACTTTAATTATTTTATTTTAAATATTATTTTAATATAAACTCAAAATCCCACTAACAACTAATCATACCACTTATTTCAATATTAATCATACCAAACCATAAAATCCAATTAAAACCCAAAAAAAAAAATTATATCCAAGAATCCCCTAAAAGTTTTGCCAGGTAACGAGATCAAGCAAACCTAACATGAACATGAACATACTTCCTCGTGTTGTTTCTTCAGAATAAATGGCTTTGGGAACATCATCCATGGTACAGCAACTAGTGCGGCTAAAAGAAGTAATATCTGTTTGTAAAAAATGAATGAAATCGTTACAAAAAAAATAAAAAAAATAAAAAAAAAAAAGAACGAAGATAAGCTAAACAACCATCTTTGATACATATCATGGTAAAGTCGAACCTGGAGGAATTTCTGGCCCATGAAAAGCTGATTATCCCCCAGATCATCCATAGGGCTGAGAAACATGTATATCATCACATGATATAGATCCGCTTGAGAACCAGTACACCACTTGACGATTATAAGAAACGAAAGGTATCCAAACAAACTGTTCAAAAATATCATCTGAGGTACGAATTGATACCTGAGGCAATTCAAATGAGATCAGACTGAACAATCAGGAAGGCTAAGATAAGCACAAGTCATACAGGTTTTGACAAAACGAGTTACACCTGATGTGCTCGCCAGATATATCTGAAAACTCACCAGACATTCAAATCATTCCTGAAAAATTTCGCATTACAATAACTAAGAATCATCCCAAGATTCATCTGAGCAACACCCAAAAGAATGGACATCTTCATCTTCAAAGAGTTGAGGAATGGCAACTCGCTGCGGGTTCCACGCCATTTTGGGTCTACACCGAATGGATATGTGTCACGCACTTTTACTAACCCCACATGTAAGCATCGCTGAAATATTATATCAGGGAAATATTGAAGCTTTTCAGACAGGAAATAATAAATATCCAATATGAAATTTTCAAATTCTAGTTTCAACCTGCAGCTTGCATCACGGCAGTCATATGCTGAGCGCCCAAATAGTTCAAAAGGAACAGAGAAAAATTCATTATAGATAACTCCAGCGTATATCGAGAAAATAGCCATCATCATCACAACATAGCGAGCACCAAATGCCATCTCCATGATGTCACCAAGCTTCTGTTGGTAGAATGCAGTGAAACACACTCAAGATATAAGAAGCTTTACCCCATCAAAATGAAGAGGTTATATCTCAGAATTTCAACAAAACATCAAGCTCACTTCAAACAATTACACTGGATTAACTAGTCAATAATAGGGCCTTCAATTCAGCATAATATTCTGGATTTGTAAGGGCAAGATTCAGGACACTGGCTTCGCTAGATTATTAAACTAATGGGAAACCAAAAATGACAGAATAGCATAGAGCACTGCCAACAGTAGATGGACAACTATGGCGACTACAACCAAACCGCCAGCTTAAAAAAGTGTTTAAGATGAACGAGTTGCATGAACTGAAAACAGCATAAAGCAGTGGCAAACCTTACTTCTAAAGCAGACTAAGGAGCAAATAATTATTACCTGTCTGGAAAGTTTCTCCTCCCTAAATATGAAGTACAATGCTGCAAGAAAGAGGCAGATCCCATGGCCCCAGTCTCCGAACATGACAGCAAATAGGAACGGAAAGGTGACAATCGTATTAACCGTGGGATTCGCTTCCTGATACTTGGCGACCCTTTTATAAACAGAACAGGAAAAGAAAAAAATTGTGTTAACCTATGAAATTGCTAATATTTCATATTTTTATCTTTTAGTTATGACTATCTTTTAGTTATGACTAAAAATTTGACTTAAGTATTGTCCTCAAGTTTAGTTATGCATGCAATAAAATGAACTCACCCATACGCATCAACAATTTCCTGAAAAGCTGAAGTAAATTTGTTAGTACGGAAGTACGTTGGAGGCGAATCCTTGGTCTGCAGCACCTGGAATACGGCTCCGACTTGTGAATTGCTATCCATAGTTGCTTGATTTAGAACATTCTGAATCTGCAGGATCAAGTTCGTTTTTAACGGCATAATATAAATATTGAATAGTCAAATAATTGGCAATGCCACAAGGAAAATGCAGACACCCCGATAGTCGTACCTGATTTGATACAGAAACAGGGCACCAGCCTTCTCCAACAAAGCACTTTTTTGTAACATCAAGGCTGAGCTTATTTAAAATATGATAAATAGATTTCTCTCTCTTGACCTTAACAAGTTGAAAAACATTGACTTCAGTAATATGAAAGTAACATATTCCTCCAACAAATCAATATTCCAGTGCCTTGCCTCTTCTCTCTCAGTACATCCGAGTATAGCATGTGCAATTGTCTAGGTTCTTACCCGACAGAGAGCAAGCGGCAAACTCATGAGGCAATGCCAGAATAATAATAATAATAATAATAATAATAATAATAATAATAATAATAATAATAATAATAATAATAATATTATGTTTCTTCAAAGTGTGCTTAAAATTACAATTACTAACCAGGAGGTTCCAGTGCTCAAACTCATAGCCAACACTCTGCAGCAGATTGGTCCGGTGCAGCTGCCCAATATCTATAGTGGTCTTTAGTTCTAAGAGTTCTCCTGATACCTAGTGAAAAACAATATCCAAGTAATTAATTCTGAATAGAAATAAAAATCTGAGGTAGCTATTTAGAAAAATAATGATAATGTTATCCTCTTGAATAAAAGTGAGATTTGCAATGATTTGTGAAAAGGCATATGTCATAAAGCAGAATGTTAACTGAATCTAATTGCACTCAAAGTTATGCGAGAGAAGAATCTACTACAGTTTATTTATAAATCTAATTGTACTCAAAGTTGTGTAATATAGAAACCACCTACAGTTTCGTACTGTTGCGCAAATAAGTATTACATATGGCATGATCGATCAAATAACTAGAAGATCATCTTATTTCATACCTCTGTTACCAGTTGACGCTGTTTGCCAATCTCATCTGTGAAGGGATAGCAATTTGCTCCAAATGCATCGCATATCTTCAGTATTTTGCTCTTGGCTCTTTCTCCAGAATAAAAGACCACAAACACATTTTTTTCAACCTACAAAACCGTCCCACATATCATTACGAAGCATCAGTACATTTTAGATATTTCAGAAAACACTTGCAGACTATGATACTGATAGAGTTAAGGGTGAAATCAAACGAAAACAATACATAATCGACATTAGTAATTAAGAATATAACTTAACAACAATTTCACAACTCGGGACAAATTAATATAAAAAAAATTAAAAATTTATGTGTCAACTTAAATAAATACATACTACAAAGAGATTGAGCACTGTATTGATATTGAATTTTCAATTATTGTTGCACAGTTAAATTTTTTATCAAACACTCGTGTAGTTCACGACTGTAGTACTAATTAAGAGATACAATGACAAAAAAAGTTAAAAGAACACATCCTAAGTTTCCACTACTTTCCTTCTGCAAAATGCAAACAAGATTGCCATGAAAGAGGTCAATGCCTAAACCATGTCACAAAATTTCAATGTGTGACGGAAATATTATAAGGTTCAAAACCTACGCATCTCATACTCAAGATCAAAGAGTTATTGGGGCAGGGAGGGAATAGATACGAAAGTCAATATCACAAGTTGTACGATCAGGGAGTAAAAACAATCAAACAAGTTTTATTACCTTGTCTCCTGAAACTGGATCGACCACGGGCTCTTCCACAACTACTTGCTTATGAAATACATTTCCCCTTTTTGAGCGAAACAGCATTCTCTCAAAAGCCAGGGATTTATCCCTCAAAACTAGCCCACAGTAAACATCTCAAAAGCCTTGTTTTAATGGGTCAGTTAACATCTCCTGACAAGACACAGAGTTTAGCCCAAGAGACAAATGAGAAATAAAGTTGAAGTTTAGTGGTACAAGTAAACTATATAACAACCTGCTCAAGTAACAAGGGGCTCTCAATTGATCTGTCACTGAGGACCTCCGTCTCAACTCCCATGCGCTGGGCAGTCACACTACAACGGCCAGCTGAAAGAAAAATCTCACTGGCCTAGATGAAAAGGTAAATGGTGAGTGCTTGCGATTATAAAACAGCTAAATTTCATATCGTCTCAAGGAAAGCAATTCTTGGACAAGCAGGCAATATTACCTTTTGTAGAACAAGCTTATATTCTTTAAGTTCATTATAAGAACGCTGCAACTTTTCACTATTCCCGTTCATTTCTGACAGCTCTGATTCATACTCTCCAAGTTTTACCTGATCCATTTCCATAAAGTGTTACAGAACACCCTCATGACTTCAAAAGGCATATGCAATGGTAGGTAAATAATTTAAAAACAAAAAAAAAGTTTTAATAAGAATGGATAGGCAAACAATTCCAAATTATACAAGGTTGAAATAACTTGAAGCAGGCGTAAGGACCAACCTCTAACTCTTCCAAATTGACATTACTGTCCATCAAAGATCTTGATGATGTCAATAAGCCAGCCTTTTCCATTTGGTCCCTAAAAAAACGTAGTTTGCGAGCTATTTCAGCACATCGTTTGATCTGCATGAATAATTAAGCATGCTTTGCAAGTTCATAAGTCTTATTTGAGTGAAAGCAAAAAAATACTTTTTATTCACTCATAAATTTTAACTACTCTTATCAATTAATATTTCATTATTTTTATGTCATGTCTAATTTAATTATTACATGTTTATATTTACAATATCAAATCCATCTAACTTTTTTTCTGAAACATTTTTTTTCAGCTTTTCATCGTTATCTTAAAAATAATAAAAAATAAAAAACTCATACAATCACAACTTAATTCTATCCAGACACACGAGGACAAATGTGGCGTGCATGTGCATTAGTGTGTGTAAAATGGCTGCCACAAAAATAATAAATATTTGTACTAAATATTATAGTAACTTGCCATATGTAATGTGGATTGCATTTTAGCTTTGGAAATTTTCAAAATAGAACCAATTAGTTTAGGAATGAATTAGATGCAACTAAATTGAATTTAAAAACTAAGAAATTCAACTTACACCCGAAATTATTAATTCTAATTTGGTGTTAATATCTAGCAAAAAGATGTTATCGGAATAATAAGACTCGTTGGGACATAATTTCAGTATGAGTATTAGTCGGAATGATTAATTGATAAAACTGTAAGCTATGAATTAAAGTTCTAAATATTACGATATTAATTATAATTTACAAAATACTACTAATTAGCAAACGAGATATTGATCATACATTGTCATTTGGAAACGAAACTAAACATAAGAGATCAAAAGAAGAGAATGAAATTGATTTAATTCCTTATCGAGTACTCAAAACAAGAAAAAAAAATGATGCAAGATTTAACTATAAAACTCAGATATCATTACCTGATTTAGCATTATATTAAAATTTATAGGTTATTAATATCAATTAGATCTATATTGTTTCCGGTTAACAATTAAACAGTGACGACTTTTAAACCCGATATAAGTAAAAATAATTGAGTTCAAAAAGAATATGTTATGAATGGTGAATTAAATGATCAAGAGATCAGCTTCAAACCAATATTTATATTTCCATTTCTTATAAAAAGTAAGGTTATTCATTTTACGAATGTCAATAAGACTTATATAATTTCCGATTAACAGTTAAAACAGTGATGAATTTTGATCATGATATATGTAAACAAAATAAAAAGGAACAAGTTTAAATTAGTCTAAATAATAAGTTATGGACAGGGATTGGACAAAAAAAAAATGTGTAACATAATTTTAATTTGAACATTTTGAGACAAAGTGTAGGGTTAACTACACTACCTAAATGAAAATCAGGATGCGCATACGCACCTGGGTCGCATAGGTCCTCTGAAATGGACTTTTTTCTGCATTGAGCTGCAAAAATAAGAAAAATGAAATAACAAAACATGAGCATCACGCTAAAAATAAGAACATCAGAAATACATGTAAACTCAAAGATACCGTATCAATGTACTTGTCACTTTTCTCTTGCCATATGTTATTAAGACGATAACATGCTTAACATTACCAAAACCTCTTCCCCCAAAAATGAACGCATAGGCTAGTCGCTAGTGGTACCTAAAATGCAATGATGGATTTGAATCCTTTCGGTGCATGTGAGTTGTAGACTAGTTTCTTTTTAAATAAATAAATACATAAATAAAAACTAATGCACTCAACATAAATGTTCCTAAAACCAGAGAACTTCAAAAAAGAACCTGCAAATGTTGATGAAAAAACTTGAAACTATTTCATATTATACAAAAAAATCATCCAATCCTAAAGTACCATCACTTGACACGATGGCATATTGGCATTCACAATAAAAGGCTACTATCCCGCACCATCACTTGCTCAAGAAACAATTAAAACACTAAATTCCTGGACAAATTTGTTCCTACTGTTTAGGGCAGTGTATTTTACAGTCGGATCATACACACAAAAACGCGGGTTCTTTGCTTCAACCGTAAAAAAATCCGGTGGGATTGAAATTTTCAAATTCCTAACAGATCATACAGCAATAGCAAGTTCCATTTAATTCACGAAACTATTGCAACAACGGCTTGGCAACAACAACAACAACAACAACAACAACAACAACAATAATAATAATAATAATGGCGGATTAGTATGAACACGGCCAGTTTATCTTTCTTTGTAGACATACATCAATAAATTAGGTTTAACATTCCCAATCTCAACGACAATTGCATCTATACAAATCAATCGTATGAAAGCTCGCGACTTACGTCTTTGAATTGGAATAGGCCGAGATCGCCGAGGTAGGAAATGGCGCGGTGAGCTGACTCGACCGGGATGATTAACTGCACCAGCTGCATCTGCTCCGACCGGAACATATCCATCGCCGGAGAACACCCGCTCGCCGTCATTTTATTTCTCCGGCGAAGAACAAACCAGATGTCGTACGGCAAATCGAAATCGACGGGAATGACCTCTGAATTTAATGTTTTTGGGCAGGTTGTGCGGGGCTTCGCTTGATTTCTCCGACGAGGTTCGAGTGATCGGAGGTCGTCGTTTCAGCTCAAACCTTGCGCGCATGAATTCAACCGATTTGCTCCTCAGTTGTATGATTTCAATTGGCTTTTCTAAAATAAAATTGCGATATGTGAATGGAGTTTGGTCTTTAGATTTATTCATATCTTAATAGGTATGTTGAGTGGTGGGTAGATTCACTGTACAGTGCGTGTGCGAGTATATCTTTTTCTTCGTTTTCGTTTTCTTTTACCGATTTTCAGATATCTTCCCAGGGACATGAGATATTGTGTTAAAATAATATATTTCACCTATAAAATAAGAAGAAAATTTGGAAAATTTTGAAGTTAAAAAATGTGGTAAATTTAAATTTTTTAAATATATATGAAATGAAAATTTAATGGTTAGATAGATGGTATATAAAAATAATAAAATTTTCATCGATAAGATTGATAATTCAAAATGTGTAAACGTTCAGTGTTTTCTAAATTTATAATAAAGATATTTTTTATTTCTTAACTGGGTTCATGTAAAACCAAATAATATAAGATTAATAGGTATTTTTTTTAATATTTCAATGTAGTTTAAATAAATATTTGTTGTACAAATAAAAAAAATACTATCTAATCACCACATATATTGTTAAGTTTGAGGCGTAAAACTCCATCGTATATTCTCGGGGGAAAAAAAGAAAGAAAGAAAGAAAGAAATTGTATCCTCATAAGGGCATCTTTATCAACAGGTTTAAGCTACAAACCGGATTTATTCGCCTACGCCTTCAACTGCCTTCGTCTTCGAGCTCCGGTAACCTACAGTATTTCGGGAGGGGATCCTGTTGGAAAGACCTCTGAAAACTCAAGTCCGAACTTGCTCAAACAACTGTACCAGAGAATATAGAATTAAAGTGTAGAATGCAATGATGATATGAAGAAGAATCATGTCACCCTTATATAGGGTAGTTATTGTGGTGCTCATGAGAGTCTTTGTTAGGGAAGAGATCTAACCAGGTTCTACTTTCTAACTTACCACGTCTCTATCTAGGCAGTCTTTGAGCAAGTGATTATTTCCTTCTTACTAGCATTTTTCTCCTTTTACATACAACCCTCAGGTCCTTAGATCATAACATCAACCTTTTGACCTGCTTGTTGTGACTTACCCGGTTGAACTTGACCTCGTTTTGAGGTCTAACCTGATCCCATCTTTAGGGCTAATCTGTCACCGGGTCATACGACTTTAGTATCTCAAGGTCGGATGTATTGTCGGGTTACTAGAAGTCGGCACCCCCGAGTCGTCTTCTTCCGATTAGTCGGTACCCAAATCCCGCATACGAACTACTTGTCTGAATAACTTATCTTTAATCATGCTAGAGCTCTCTTAGACCTACTTAATCGAGCTACATGCTCAGTCCAGTCTGTCGATCTGTTATTAGTGCTATATCAAGCTCCAATATGTTACACAATGTGTGTTTAAATTACAACGGGAACCTATGAACTGACTGAAGTGTTCAGTTCGTACAAAAGAACTAAAACAAAAAAAAAATTAAATTACAACTCGAACGCGGAGAGATTTGAGCCGAGGCGATTGAAATCTATCCGCAAGACAAATACGCCCCGTGTAGCGCTGACGGGTCAGTGCGTAATGTCCCCAAAGATACAACGGCTTTAACACTCAGAAGCTGTAGCACACCAGCCTTCAGAGTCCAGTCGAACAAGAATGAAGTCGAGAACCGA